GAAAAAATCAAAATAATAGTGAAGGCTGCAGAAAAATATCTGGACATTAAAGATTTGAACTGGGAGATGGTTGGAAGCATGATGGGAGGACCGATGGGACCATCAGAAACTGGCAGAGTTACGATGACCTAGAGTAAATTAAAATTATAGGGGCAAATGTGATTTGGTATTATGTTGGTTTAAGTTACACAGGGTTTTTTTTTTTTTTTTGGGGGGGGTGAATCGTTTCCTGTTTTCTTGCTTTACTCCATATCAGTTGGTGGCGGTAATGCACATTTCACAAGTCTGCCAACCGCCATAAAATCTCATAAGAAGAAGAAGAAGCCTGCAGGACCATTCCGGACCAGTGGGGGGCGCTCAGGCGCGCTGGTGCCACCGGCAGAGGAAGGAAGCAGGAAGTAAAGCTGTATCCGGTCTCCGCTGTTTGTTTTTCTCTTCTCGGCACCAGAACCTTCTTCTTTCGGGTAACTATGGCCGTCAGCTCCGTCCACCTGGAGTCTGACGCCTTCCTGGTCTGCATGAACCACGCCCTGAGCACCGAGAAGGAGGAGGTGATGGGTCTGTGCATCGGGGAGGTGGAGGCCTCCCGGATCGTCCACATCCACTCGGTGATCATCCTCCGCCGCTCCGACAAGCGGAAGGACCGGGTGGAGATCTCCCCGGAGCAGCTGTCCGCCGCCTCCACCGAGGCGGAGCGGCTGGCGGACAGCACCGGCAGACCCATGCGGGTGGTGGGCTGGTACCACTCCCACCCGCACATCACCGTCTGGCCCTCCCACGTGGACGTGCGGACCCAGGCCATGTACCAGATGCTGGACCAGGGCTTCGTGGGACTCATCTTCTCCTGTTTCATCGAGGACAAGAACACCCGGACGGGCCGCGTCCTCTACACCTGCTTCCAGTCCGCGCAGGCGCAGAAGGGCTCCGAATACGAGCGCGTGGAGATACCTGTGCACGTGGTGCCCCGGGAGGCGATCGGGAAGGCGTGTCTGGAGTCCGCCGTGGAACTGCCGCGGATCCTGTGTCAGGAGGAGCAGGACACGTACCGCAGGATCCACGGGCTGGCCCACCTGGACCCGGTCACCAAGATCCACAACGGCTCGGTGTTCACCAAGAACCTGTGCAGCCAGATGTCGGCCGTGAGCGGCCCGCTGCTGCAGTGGCTGGAGGACCGGCTGCAGCACAACCGGCAGAGCGTCACGGAGCTGCAGCGGGAGAAGGAGCGGCTGCTGCGGGAGCTGGCGGCGCTGTGAGCGGCGGGCTGCTGTCCGATGATGGACTCATCGGTGCAGTGGGCGGAACTCAGAGCCCCCTGCTCCCCCTCTGTGATTACTGTTAAACCTGATGTAAATAAATGTAAAT